AAAACTCACTTTAAAGTCGCAGGCTGCGTTTGCGTTAACATTGGCAAGAAGTTCCACTCGGATTTGATGCTAAGTTTGAAGCTCTTCTGTGACTTTTCGCATTTTAATGCCATGTTTCATTGTAACAGGCCCATCCCCCCCCCTCTACGGGGGGGCTGTGGTGGCCCGGGGGCACTATGAAGACTTCGGTATCAGACTTGGAGTATTCGAGGACTCTTTGAAAAGAGAAACGGTATGTCCAAGAGCCGCCGAAGCTACTCTAAAAAATGAAGGTACGGACCCCCTAAGTAACCTTTGGACCCCCCTAACTTTTGACAGGGGGGTCAGATCGACTTCCGGTTTGCGCCAAAAATTTTCTTTTTTCATGCTCTTTCTAACGATGAATCACATGATGGGGGTTGCCATTTGAAATTTTTGAGTTGCCCCCCGCCCCCCCTCCCCCTGGGGGGGTGAAAAACTGAAAAGTACCTCACAAAGTTTCCCCCTCGATATGAGGAAGGACGCCACAAACCGCAAATCGATATCATAATTAAAACTAAAGTTATGGCCAGTGGTGCGTAACTTTTGAATAACCCTGTATAATCATATAAAGTCTTATAATATTGCCACATTTTCATTTTGGTTGTATAATTACATGTATAAAAGTTATCAAAAATTGACTTTTTTTATTTTATCACTCAATTTTTGGTTACGCGGCCAAATTTTTTTTTCATAGTAGAGAAAAATCCCAATATTATCGCTTTTATAATCATAGAATCTAATATTGCTAATAACAATAGATCATTCATATTAAGTTATAATTTTTACTTTTTGAAATCATTGCTGCTAGTCAGCATTGCTCTAATGATTGGATGTTTTGGGTGCCAGCCATTTTTCAGTGGGGACTGAAAGCTTTTTTTACAGCCTTGCATTCATACTTCTTTGCCAAAAATGGTAATATAAAGTCATATTAAAGTGTCATTTCTTTGTTTTTTTATTGCTGTATCCACCCTGTAACTCAGGTATGAGAAACAATAATTAAAAACTCTAAACTTGCAGTAGGTGGATTTCATGCACAGCTTTAAATCCGGAAATGACAATCGTTTCCATCCATCTTGTAAAAATAATTTTCAAAATCTACAGGGTCGCCCAGACCTACCGTACCAGGCCTTTTTTTTGGTTAATTTGGGTCGTACGAAGTCCAGGATCGCGGGGACGAATAGGGAATCGACCCCAAGAAATCCGAATTTCATGGTCCCAGAGCCCCCTGGCGGCCCTTGGGGGGTAAAAGGGGGGTCCGTATTTCAAAAGTCAGGGTTAAGGTCAAAATTTTGAAATTATTTCATCGAAATCAGAACGCACGGAAAGTTTTAGCTTAAATCGACACCAAGAAATCCAAAATCGGCCCATCCGTGTCCAAAATACCGACCCCTAAAGGTGGGGGACAGAGCCCCCTTTCAAAAAAATACTAGTTCGTTAAATTGACGGGGAGACTCGGAAAAAATGTGTAATTATGGGTAATTGACCCGAAGGAATCAAAATTGAAGGGTCCTGTTGTCCTCAGAGACTTTTCTGATGGGGCACAGGGGGACTCTGAACTTTCAAATTTAACTGGTGTGGAGGTTACCCCTGTGCCCCATCAGAAAAGTCTCTGAGGACAACAGGACCCTTCAATTTTGATTCCTTGGGGTCAATTACCCATGAATGCACATTGTTTCCGAGTCTCCACGTCAATTTAACGAACTTGAATTTTTTTGAAAGGGGGCTCTGTCCCCCACCTTTAGGGGTCGGTATTTTGGACACAGATTGGCCAATTTTGGATTTCTTGATGTCGATTTACGCTAAAACTTTCCGTGCGTTCTGATTCCGATGAAATAATTTCTAAATTTTAACATTAACCCTGACTTTTGAAGTACGGACCCCCCTTTTACCCCCCAAGGGCCGCCAGGGGGCTCTGGGACCATGAAATTCGGATTTCTTGGGGTCGATTCCCTATTCGTCCCTGCGATCCTGGACTTCGTGCGACCCAAATAAACCGAAAAAAGGCCTGGTATGGTAGGTCTGGGCCACCCTGTATTTGCTTTCCCTATATTTCACAATATTGTTTTAAGTTATGAAGAAGGTGAATAATCTTCTTGACAAATGCTCTAAATTTTAACACATGTTACCTGGTTTGTAGCCTTGCTTCTCTATACAAAAAGGTGAAACGTTGTTTCGGTCCTCTTGAAAAATATGCACCTTAGAGGTATTTGGTGTTACCTTCTGATCGTACAGATTAGTATTTTCCTATCCAGCAGATGCTAGAAGTACTAAACTGTTGCCCATGAGTTTTTTCTTAAAATTTTCAATGGTAGATATAACTGTTCTGCCTTATGCTATCCAAGTTATATTCTTATCTATTCTCAACCAAAATCTATTTTGCAGGTGAACTAAGTGGCTCATGTGAAGGTCCCTCTGGCTCAGTTGTTCCCATTAGTATTGAGAGGTTAACCTCTGACACAGTTCAGGCACTCTTGATACCTCGTAACGCTGGGCCTCACACTCTGTCCCTATACTATGGAGATTTTCCTCTTCCTGGTTCACCTTATCATGCGAATGCAGAAGGAAGTGGTGGAGGAGTAAGGGTCATTTTGACTGGCAAAGGTCTAACTGGTGCACTATGTAATTCAGTGGCAGAATTCACCATCGATGGATCGCAAGCTGGACCTGGTCTGTATTTTGTAACAGCATGAGTATAATTTAATTATGTTGTTTTTATGGCCCACCAGACAATTTGCGAATTTAAACATTCTGATTCATGTTTCCTTCATGAAAGGGCTTTGCACAAAATGGGCCAAAATTCGCCCGTTTTTGGCCCCTCGAAATCGGGGTCCGTGTGAGGTCATTTTTCATCTTTAGGATGACCCTTTGTTCATACTAAAATTTCAGATTGAGTATACGAACCGTTTTCGAGATACAGGGGCTCAAAGTCCCCGATTTTATTTCATTTCTGCAGGTATTTTAATGTCCAATTCCTACTATAAAATGTTTTCTGATTTAGATATCGAAGCGAGGTTTGCGGTAGTTGATTCAACTACATCTGGTGGATTTTTCTACATCTTTCACAAACCTTCACTTGATTTTTCCGCGGGGGGGGGGGCTTTTTTTATAAAGGGTGTGCACAAGGTATGGGTATTTGTTAATACCTCAAGAACGGTTGTAGATATTGACTTGCGGTTTGGAGGAAACTTNCCCCCCCCCCCCCCCCCCGGGGGGATGGGGATAGGGGGTAACTTCGAAGCTCGAATGGGATCGCATGATACCACGTCAGAAAAAACATACAAAAAGACAATTATCGCGTCAACTGCAGGTTGCCATCCATCATTGTCACCAGGCATTTGAGGCGCCTCATGAGGTTATGCCGTACAGCATCGACTCGTAGCTTCAGCATTAATGCCGTATGCCCAGGTAGCGGCCGTGCGGGCATGCGGCGCTGCGCTTTATGCGCGCAACCTGCCGGCGCCGACTTCGGGCATTGAAGCCCGATGCCGGCGTGCCGACCGAGCCAGCATTAAGCGCTGATGCTGAGGTTTGATGCTGGCTCAGGGACCAACACGGACGGGCTTCAACTCTTGAGGCTGGACCCTCGGCTTGCGGCCCGATACGGCCTCAATTTTCGGACCCGCCACCCTGCTTAATTACCGACGGGGCTGTCCCAGAAGACCGCAACCCTCGGACGTGGCGATGAATTCGCGGAACACCCTTTTGTCTTGGCGGCGGCCCACGCCTCGCCGAGAAGTTCTAAGAAGTGGACGCCGAGGAAGGGTTGAAAACACAGCCCAGTGCAATTAGCCGACCGGCAGCCGGGTCCGGGGCGCTGGCGTCCGACGTGTCTGCTAATTGAAGCCGCCCAAATTTTGATGCTGGACTCAGCATCAAAATTGATGAAGCATCAAAAAGTCAGCCGGGTGTCGGCTTCACCAGGTTAAGCCGCCTCAACGGCAAATGCGCTTCCCCGGCACACTGTTCGACGCGGCATGAAAGTCCGCGCCGGGCCTCCGCCATGCGCACCGATGCCGCTCCGTTTATGATGCTCACTCAAACCTCAGCTCTAAATCCCTGATTGTCGCGAAATGGCGACTGGATTAAGTTCAAAATGGCGGAAAATTGATATCTTGATCGTTTAGCGGCCGATTCGGGTGAAATTTCTTGAATTGAAGTTGGTACATGTTTGGTGAGGCATCATGACCCCCCCCCCCCCCCCNAGGGAGCTGAATGGTAGGTTCAACTTCTTGAAACAATCGAGATGACCGCCATTTGAAAGGCTGTCAATTTAAAAACAGTGTAATATATTTGCATTCTGATGTCAGATTTGTACCATTCCTGAAAAAAAAAAACCCCCGGTTACTGAATTTCATCGAAATCGGCTGCTTAACAACCAAGATATCAATTTTCCGACATTTTGTGACGGTGATAGATGGCAACCTGCAGTTGACGCGAATAATTGATTTTTTGTATGTTTTTTCCAACGTGGTATCACGCGATCCCATTTGGGCTTCGAAAGTTAACTCCCATCCCCATCCTCCCGGGGGGTCATGACCTCTCACCAAAAATGTACCTTCTTTAATTAAAGGAAGTTTCGTCTAAACCGCAAGTCAATATCTGCAGCCGTTCTCGAGGTATTAACAAATACCCATACCTTGTGCACACCCTTAATGAAAAAAGCCCCCCCCCCCCCCCCCCCCCCCCCCCCCCCCCCCCCCCCCCCCCCCCCCCCCCCCCCCCCCCCCCCCCCCCCCCCCCCCCCCCCCCCNCATTTTATAGTAGGAATTGGACATTAAAATACCTGCAGAAATGAAATAAAATCGGGGACTTTGAGCCCCTGTATCTCGAAAACGGTTCGTATACTCAATCTGAAATTTTAGTATGTACAAAGGGTCATCCTAAAGATGAAAAATGACCTCACACGGACCCCGATTTCGAGGGGCCAAAAACGGGCGAATTTTGGCCCATTTTGTGCAAAGCCCTTTCATGAAGGAAACATGAATCAGAATGTTTAAATCCTAACTAAGATATCAACATTTCAGTTTACATTAGTTACAGGAAATCTGAATGTCTTGTTCAAAGGAAACAGACTCTAATCAAATCGAGCACTACAACGGTCTTGGCAGGTCTTAGCCTTCTGAGACCAGTGTTCTTTCCTTGACCTGTGTTATTCTAAGCGTCTAAGTGTTTAAAACATGCAACAGCAAAGCACCAAGATTGAGACTGCCATATTTTCATACTGTAGAGACGGAGCTCCAAAGGAAGTTGAAAGAAGGATAAAGAGCATTTGGAAGAAGTTTTGATCGATGAAGAAAATTTTAAAAGGATCAGTGAGCATTAAGCTGAAGGGAAAAGTGATCGAGAAATGCCTCATACCAGCCTTTTTATATGACTGCCAAACGTGGGCACTTACAAAAGCATTATACAACAAACTCTATACTACACAGATGCAAATGCTGAGGAGTGTATGCAACATCAAAAGAATGGACAAGATTACAAATAAAGAGATTAGTAGAACAAGATGTATCATGCCAGCATCACTAACAGCGATGAAGTTGAAGCGAAAATTGGCAAACATATTGCCAAAATGAAGGAAAAAAGATAGACCAAGCTACCGACCGAGTAGACTCCCAACCAGAAAAAGGAAAAAAATTGGCACAAAATGAAAAACTGAAAAAGCGAGCACTCATCATTAGTACACACAAAGATGTTCACAAACTGACTCCTTTATGAAAATGTAATCCTCAAAATAAATTGACCTTCAATGAACTACCCCCTATAACAGGGTGAATCTCCCCGTCTCGACGCAAAGTGCAGATTCAGGTCCTCGAGGCTGAGACAAGGAAACCTCGGAAAAAGATCCGCCGTCGCTACTTCAATGGTGCCGGATGAACTTCAGTGAGAAGCCTGGATTCGGGCGCTGAAAAGAAAAATAGGGAGTGAATCGAAATTGAGAGAGAGAGACCTAAAATTTTAAAATCAAAGGGAAAGGAAAATTTAGCAGAGCTTGGTTTGATACTGCTCAGACGGTGCACCACTACTTTGCTCTACTTCTGAAAAAGTCGAAAGTGTTCCTCAAAATTAACGAGGTTTTATTTAATTATAAAATTACGATGAGATTTGGCAACATTTTCCACACATACATAGGCTGTCCCAAAAGTACCCGGACTGGTTCTGTAACTTCGAAACTATGATAGCTACAGACATGATCTTGGTCTCATTTTGAAGATCAACTCAATATTTATCGATTAATATCAAGATCAGCGCCATCAAAGAGACTAAGCCTAATTGACTAAGTTATGGCAATTTGAAATCAGTGAGTAGAGGAAAGGAAGGGTGAGGAATCCTCAGTGAGGTTTTTAAGGAAGATTCTTCATCAACGATATTGATATCTAAAAGTATGATCTGATATTGAGTTTTCACCCAAAAACTTCCATGTAATTCTAGAACAACCTGAAAACATTGCCCCGTGGTGGTTGGCTGTCGCCAGTTGTCGTCGTTCGCCTTTGGGCCAATAGTGTAAAAGGCAAATATCCCTGACCGACCGGGCCCACCTTGAACGGGTGGAATGCCGCACTAGAAAGCTTTGTGGATGCTCCAACAAGTCAACGTGCGGACTCACAACTCGAACTTCACACATGAATTTATGAGTAAAAATGAAGTTGAAACAATCCTTCATCCTTGTAGCCTTGACTTGGCTCCTTGTGATTTTTGGATGTTTCCTGCCCTTAAGAAGGAGTTTCGCAGACAAAGATTCGAATCGAGGACCGAAATCCAGAATGCAGTTCAGAACTTTTTCAACTCCATCCCAGGGAAAGAATTCAGGAAAACAATGTTAGAGAGGTGGCACGAGTGCATGAGTAAGTGCATCCGGTTTAATGGACGGTCTTTTGAAAAGCAAAAGGAAGTTATGGAAGATTCGGAGGAAAGCGGAAACGAAGATTAACTTTTTGAATCCTGGTAAGCGAAAAATCTTCCTCAAAAACCGTTGGGGTAAACTCTACTCACTATTTTAAATAATCATAACTCGGTCAATTTTTATTCGATTGAGTTGATCTTGGTCCTAATCAATAGATATTGAGTCAATCTTTAAAATGAAACCAAGATCATGTCTGTATCTATCGTAGTTTTGAAGTTATAGAACCAGTCCGGGTACTTTTGGGATAGCCTATGTATAAAATATTTCTCTACTTTTCTCTAACTTTCTGACTGAAACTTGAGGGAATTCATTCTAAAACACATGGTAAATATTCATCTCGAATAAATAAAATAAAACGTTCTGAATTCTAGGGTCTGCGCTTGTCTCATAAGAAACCACACAGAAATGCGCCTCAGCCTGGGCCTCTCTGTCTGCGGTCTCCTCAAAGGGAAGCCCTCTCCTTTATGGCCACGCTCAAGAGGGAGATACATTTCAGCCTGGCACCTCGACCTACAAGTCCGAAACCGTAGAGATCCAAAGCCAGAGAATTCTAGGTCCAAAGCCAGAGAATTCTGCGATAAAGAGTCAGGCCCCAATACCGTAACCGCTAACTCTGGCAAGAATCTTAAAGTAAGTAGGGAAATGCGAACTCATCCAGCTGCACCTCGACCGACGTATTTGATTCTGTACTTCACTGTCTTTTGGAATGAAACAATTCCCCACAGACTCATAGGTCTGGTTGGGAGGCCACCAATTTACAAATTTCATAAAAGACTACATGCTCAAGTTCGTTCACCATTGTAAAGATGGACCATTACAATAAAATATCAAATTTACACCATTGGCCTCGCCTTGACTCTTTTAAGCGATTCATGCAATTAAAATTCAAGCACAAATTTTTGAAAATTTCAAAAATAATGAAAAAGATCACAAAATGATCGGAATAGCCGCAGCGCTCCCTGTTGGCACGTCGTTGTACTCAAGCGGACGCCAAGCGTTCTTTCTCCTTTGCTCGCCGGAAACAACGCGGTGATGCCGAGCCTCTGCGCTCCGCAGCGGTGCCCAACATGCGCGCTCGCGACTTTCTGCTTCTTTCAATTTTGAATTCACGTGAGCTTAAACTTAAAACGGGGGAAAAATTTCCTTGTTACAAGGGAAAACGGATTACGGATGGAAAAATGGGTTACGGATCCGAAAATGTTCGTATTTCTATTAATCTTTGTGGCGCCCGAATCCAGGCTTTCCGCTGAAGCTCATCCGGCAGCGTTGAAGTGACGACGGCGCGGCGGGTCTTTTTCCGAGGTTTCCTTGTCGAAGCCTCAAAGACCTGACTCTGCACTTTGCGTTGAGACGGGGAGATTCGCCCCGTTACGAACCTTACCATTTTTCTTTGCATGTAATTAACCGCTTCGGCGCTCATTTAGGTAGTTGCGCCACCTATCTTCTGGCTATCGGATATTATGTATTAATACCATTTTATCGTATTCATTCAAACCTCTAAACTTTATAGTAAATCTTTTCATGATACGTGATGAATATATTTAGAATCAACTCGTCGGTACTTAATTACTTATAGACCATGGGCCAGCAAGGGGTTACCCTCCCCTCTCCCATGGGAATTTTGAAGATGGTGATTTTCTTGAAGCTCTCGACCGGTAGAAAAATATTTTTTTTTGTCCACACGAATTCTATCGTAGCAGAGGCGGGGAAGCCCCGCCCTAAACCCCCAAAAATTGTTCAGAGTTCCCAATTTTCCTCGAAAAGGCTTGAATCTAGAGCAAAACTCCGAATAACCAATCTGAAATCTCGTGTTTCCTTCTAGGAATGTTGTGAGTGACTTTGGTCATGACTCGCGGCAATCCCAAAATGGGGGAGTGGCTTAAAATGTCAATATATCTCACGTTCCCGCGCAAATGACCGTTTCGCCGCAATTTGCTGCATAGGGCTTAATTATTTCGTCCATGCAAATAAATGCATTGGTGGAAAATAAAATTTCACGCTATGGGATTACTTTTTTCTAAGGAAAGTTTCCAGAAATGGACCACTAGACAAGGTACGAATTTAAGCGATCTGATACATGTTTCTTAACCAGAATTTCTCGTGGAAAACGATTCACACAACCAAAATTACGGAAGCCAACTCCTAACGAAGGTATTAACGTTTTTATTTCACATTGGTTACGAGGAATTTGAACTGCCCGCTCACAAGAAACTCAAAGCTCTACGTGAGTCAAATCGCGCACGACAACGGTCTCAGCAAGTTTCTTAATCGAGCAATGTTCATTTCCCATCATGTGTTGTTCAAACTATTAGCAATTTGCTATAACTGAGCCAAAGCGTCAAGATTAAGGTTGCCAGATTTTTATATCGCAGAGACTGTCATGATAACGTTTAGCGCGCGATGTGAATCACGTAGAGCATTGTGTTTTCATGAGCGGGTGGTTTGAATTCACGCATTAAGAATCATTAAATATCTTCGTAAGGAGTTAATTTCGGTAATTTTCGTTGTGTGCATCGTGTTTTACGTAAATTTTGGTTAAGAAACATGTATCAGAATGCTGAAATTCGTACCTTATCTAGTGGTCCATTCTGTTCAATTTTCAGGAAATGAGTAAGCTAGCCTTTGTTGTAGAGATTGCAGCTGCATTGCCTTTTTTATCATACCAAGAGAGGAATATGTTTAATTTTCATAGGAGATTCAGGGTACCAGAGACATTTTTGATATAACTATTATTGTTACAGAGAGAGAGAAAAAGAGAACCATAGATAGTTGCCTGGAGTATTATTTTGAGGAATTATCATTTTTTATTATTAGTCATGGGCTTATTAGCTCTCCTCAAAATTCCAACCCGAATTCGGTAACTTGTTTTATGATAAATCATACTTATGTCTCAGGTATTCCAGAAGTAACCTTGACGGGAATGAAAACCGACCTAAAGGTGGATTTACAGAATACCGGAGATAACATCTACAAAGCAACCTACTGTCCAACAGTGCCAGGCGCGTATTTGCTCAATGTCATGTGGTCGGATCGACAAGTTAAAGGCTGTCCCTTGAAAGTAACGGTCTCAGCAGTTTGTGATGCAGCTAAAGTTCTATGCTCAGGTGAAGGGCTTGGTATCGGCACTGTTGGAAAAGACATTCGCAGTTTTATTGATACAAGGCGAGCTGGTCCAGGTAATATTGTCTCACTGAATACCTCTTTCAACATTTTTTATGAAAATGCCTCAAGGCTTTTTTTTATTTGTAGGCCTCCTGTGGTGTAGTGGTTGTATTGCTTGCTCTATGATTGGGAGGTCCTGGGTTCGATTCCTGGTCAGGTGACCCGAGTTTCATGGTCTCAAATAACGGTTACCTGGGGCTGGCTTGATTAAGGACGGAGGGGGATTCGGCTCTCGGGACAGCAAAGGGCAGGAGTATCCCTTAGTGGGGCCGATAAGTGGAAAATATCATAACAATCGTGCACTTGTGGAAGAAAGCATGAAAATTTCAGGGATTCATCTCTACCCTATAGACATTCGATTGAGACATAGACCCCAAAAATCTGAGCCCCCTGGGGGGGGCAGGGGGCCCCCCAAATTTTGAATTTTGAATAACTACGGAACGGCTAATGTTAGCGTAATTTTTTTACAACAGAACGATGGGAAATTTTATTAGGAACAAAACTGGTTCTTATGCATTTTTCCGTGGGATCGATATTTTAGGCGTGAAAACGGGAAAAACCATCGGGGGACGGGGAGCCGGCCGTTCTGAGGCAGATCCGCGCGCTGCGCTGCCTGCCCGGGACGCGCGCGGCGGCGCGGTACGGTGTTACCGACGAAACAACCGCTTGTCTTTGTTTAATCTCAACGATGCGCAGTTTTAAAAATATTATAAATTTACCGTACTGCCTAAATACTTTTCCGTAGTAATATAAGCCTTACTTTATATTATATTAGTAATAAATAAAAGCAAGCAAAAGGCGAAAGACTCCAATGTGAGAGCGCCGAGTCAATAGGAGGGATCGGTCATCGCGCATCACGTGCCTTGTTTTCCATGAACACAGAGCCTTTCCGACCTCAGTACAGAGTAAATTACCCTTTCCTTACGGAATTTTTGTAAAGGATTACATTTTAAGATATTAGAGCGAAATAAGATTTAAGTGGATAAAGATTTTAATAGATTTTGATCCACTTTTTCATGACTACTGGAAATGGGATCCTTGATAACTTATTTTTAGCTTATTTTTCATGTTACTTTCGGCGAATGGGACCATGAGCTGCTTACATAAGCAAGAATTCTGCAATACTTGACGCAAAGACATTGCTTGAGGAGTGAGGAGGGGGGAGAGGGGCTTCACAGTCCCTTGCCACTAAGGTGCCCAGATTTCCTTCCTTTTCCTCTAATATCGTTTTTCGTTCATGTTAATTGGTTTCTCGCAATTGCATAGGTACAGATACATACGGAACATTCCGACAGTGTTCTTTTCTCCTCTTTTTTACTCCAGCCAGTCAACAGACGTATTCATTTTCATGAACTTCCCAATCTTTCAGATATTCAACAAGTATGCATATTTCACAAAATAGAACGATAGGTATATCAAATGAATAATAAAAAAGAAGATATCTGAATACTATCGCTTCTTTTTATCGAGTCACACTTGAAGATTATTATTGGTATACTAACCACAAGACATAAAAAATGGAATTCAGCAGTTATAAAAATCCATGTATATTATCTTTTATTTTGTTCTATGAAGTTTGGAGTTTGGAGTGGAGTTGGAAACATTTGTATTGAAAATATAGGAGGAAATTTATTTATCATATGCAGGTTCTGATCCTTTAAAGAACCCCTGAGAGGGACCAGTACCTCAGGAAGAAATTCATTGCATTTCTTCTTTTTTAACCCGCAAATCTCGTACCAATTTTTTATTTGTATACAGCTCATGGAAGAATTCTAGGTATGTCTGAGACAATTTTCAAGAAACGGGACTTGCGAAATATGTATTGCACAAAACGCACACCTTAAACTTTATCGCACAGTATAACACTGATCAAATTAGCTTCTGAGATTATCAGAGGGTCAATTTCTTGTCAAAATATGAACAAATCAGTCAAAATCAGTAATCGGTAATCAGTTGCAAAATTACCGAGATTGAGGGAAATCGTGTGATGCGAGATTTTATTGATGACATAAGAGCAGGATATGTTCCCAGTAGGCGCGACTTCATATCACTCAAACGGACCGTTTTTGCAGATTAGCGGATATTGGCGGCTAATTTTTACTTAATAATATTCCTTATACTTATACAAGAAGCAGTCTAACAATGGTTTTTGGGGGGGTCTTTTATCCCTATCAAGCTTTCTCAAGATTCTTTTGGCGTTTCTTAGAGCAAGTTTTGAATGTGGTTTTGGTCCTCTTAAAAAAATGCCTATACGTAGCAATAATGTACCAAAATGTTCCTTCAAGAGAAGAGAATGAGCATGCTTGTTTTTTACTCATTTTTTTTTACAAAATTAGGTTCCCTGTCTTGAAAGTCTGGCTAGAAGCCGTCTCCCGGGAACTTTAGGGTTGGTAAGCATATTTAGATACCATCCTGGTACAAACACTTCAAAATCATTTTTCAGGTCATCGTGGTATACAAATAAGATGTGTGACTTTTAGCCCCCCCCCCCCTTCCCGAGACAACTGTACGTAAGATTTTATTCCGTTCAACTGATGACTGATACAGTTATCTTGGATGCTTTAATACTTGAACTTGACAAATCCATCCATACAACTAAGCAATCCAGAACTCCAGCACCTAACCCCTTCTCCTTCCGTTGCCGTCCGCTCGCTTGTATACATACATATTATATTACCTGCAAAAGTTAAGCCTTTTTTAAGGCTTCATAGGTAGTAAGATATATTCATAATATTTTTAAAACTGCGCATCGTTGAGATTAAACAAAGACAAGCGGTTGTTTTGTCGGTAACACCGTACCGCGCCGCCGCGCGCGTCCCGGGCAGGCAGCGCAGCGCGCGGATCTGCCTCAGAACGGCCGGCTCCCCGTCCCCCGATGGTTTTTCCCGTTTTCACGCTTAAAATATCGATCCCACGGAAAAATGAATAAGAACCAGTTTTGTTCCTAATAAAATTTCCCATCGTTCTGTTGTAAAAAAATTACGCTAACATTAGCCGTTCCGTAGTTATTCAAAATTCAAAATTCGGGGGCCCCCCCAGGGGGCTCAGATTTTTGGGGTCTATGTCTCAATCGAATGTCTATAGGGTAGAGATGAATCCCTGAAATTTTCATGCTTTCTTCCAGAAGTGCACGATTGTTACGCTTATCGGCCCCACTACCTTGAGGGATATTTGAAGTGGGTAAAAAAATAAAATAAATTCTGATCACTTGTTCGATACTTGTAAAAAGAAAAGATTTTGCAAAATGCCATTTATCTTTATTGCTTGATCCCAATGAACTTGTTCATTAATCTTTAATTCATTTTTGAAAAATAGAGAGTGTACTTAGTTCGCAAGAATTTTTCCAAATTTTTTGGAACGATGCATGCGACCTCTCTGCCATTATGTATGGCATGCGTAGTAGTGGTAGTACTAGCAGGAGCAGTAGTAGCAGAATTAGTAATAGTAGTGGTAGTAGTAGTAGTAGTAGTAGTAGTAGTAGTAGTAGTAGTAGTAGTAGTAGTAGTAGTAGTAGTAGTAGTAGTAGTAGTAGTAGTAGTAGTAGTAGTAGTGTCTTATCGCTGCTTTGTCAGGTCTTTGTCAGATGGAATGGACGACATACTGTCGGAAACTCAGGAGGTGCCTTCAGCTTGTCATGATTTCCACCTGACAAAGGCATGGCAAAGCAGTAATAAGACATAGCTGACCAATAACATGCTGCCATTTAACCTAAGTCATATTTGTCGGCCAGACAAACACAAAATGTCAGAAATCGGCCTGCTGTACTCTTCAATTTGTCAGAATGATACATTCCATATTCTTTTAATGTTAAGTGGCTGTCTGATTAGCTGATAATAGGTTGCAAATACAACCGTGACAGATGAGCATACCCTTATGGTCAAATATGGATGTATTAATATTCTTTCTACGAGTCGTAATCCAAGTATAATGACAGAACAATTTTTCTACTGATTTGTGTCAGTTCCACTACTGTGGCGCAGAATATTCTTAAGCACAGCTATGTCCCAATGAAGTTTGACTCTCTACAATTCTATCATAAAACAGCTGAAAATGAGGACTAATAGGGAATTGTTGTGGCATGGTCATCCACAGCCCTGATGATAGATTGACCCAGGAGCCTCAGTTTTAACAAAAAAACGCCTGAACCATTACCCAACCAAGACTTGCTCTGTTTATCTTTTTATTTTTTCATTTTTTTAGGAGAATTAAGTGCACATTGTGTTGGTCCTCACAAAGTTGCTTATTGTGAACTCTATGATCATGGTGATGGAACTTTTACATTGAATGTCAAACCGCAAGAAGCTGGAAAACATACTCTTACAGTCAAATATGGAGGTATTACTTTTCCTTTTTATGATATGTAATCCTAATATGAAGACTTCTATTAGGATTAATATCTATGTAGGATAATTTATTTCACTGATTTAGAAAAGATGACTCTGTGTCATCTACTTACTGTTATTGAAAAAAATATTGTTTTGAGGCCCCATCAGCCTACCTTCATACCGATAAGGGAAGCTCCTCAAGTTATCCTCTAGTTTCAGGATAAAACTTACATGTTTTTGTGTTTCTGTGATGAGTAGGTGTGTAGGAAGAAAGTGCTGAAAGAGTTCCAAACCAGATTTTGCAAGGGTTACTCGACAATAGATAATATCTTTAATATAGGAAGTATCGTTAAAAACTTGAGTAAAAAAAAAGAAAGTTTTTGCATATTTTGTTGACTTCTCGACTGCTCGTGACCAGGTTGACCGTTTTAGTCTGTATGACAAGCTGCTGGCCCAAGGAGTATCATCCAAAATGGTAAATATTCTGAGACAATTGTATGATGAAACAAACACTAAGGCATGGTGCCGTGATGGTGATGTAACAGAAGAGTTCACCTCCACTATGGGAGTCAAGCAAGGCTGCCTTTTAAGCCCTCTATTATTTGCTTTGTTTACAAATGATATCGTGGATCATCTCAGAGGGGGTATCAGTATAGCAGGAAAGAAAATAAATATCCTTGCATACGCTGCCGATATTGTGTTACCAGCAGCATCCATGGTAGAACTACAAGAAATGGTCAATTGTTTAGCACAGTATTGTCATCTACGGAACTTGCAGATTGATTTAAAAAAGTCCAAAATAATGGTTTTCAGAAATGGCGGTAAGCTGGCAAAGAATGACAGGTGGTATCTAGGAGAAAAAGAGATAGAAGTAGCGAATGAGTACAAATATATGCGAGTGGTGCTGACACCATGCATTAGTTTTGTTAAACACTTTTAGTCCAAATTGCTACTTCCAAATTTGCATTGCAGTCCTTCAACAACATTCTGTATTAATGATGTCCCTCTGGACCAAAAGTTACATATTTTAAAGCATCTCTGAGAAATATAGTTTGTTACGGCAGGTCTGGGGAGGATCTTTTTTTAAGGAGTTGGAAATTTTTCAGAAACATTTTTTGAAGAGAATTCTCTGGCCACCTACCTACACCCCCTAATTTAGTACTAATCTTAGAAACTGAAGTCTCACCGATTTTTGTACATACTTTGGAATTACATTAAAATTATTAAAATAAATGCCTAAATACAATATCAGAGGAAAGGTACCTGAATTTTCTCGATAAGCAATTGATCTCAAAAAATCTGTGTTGGTTTAGGGGATAGCAGGGTATATGTAAATTTTATAATATTCGAATGGAACATTTTCTTGATGAAATAGTTGATGTGCGGCATATTGTCAATTCGATAGAGGAAAAGATCTTAGAGAGACACCAATTCAAGTTGAGAGAAAGTCAAAGACACATTTTATTAATAGAACTGTACTTTAACGAGGATTTTGATAAAAGTTGCATGTACAGTAAGGATTTAAGTAGAATGGAAATCAATGTAATCATGAGAATGAGATGTGAGCTTATATTGGAATTAATAAGTATGTGATCAAAGCAAGCAACAACTTACGTGACATGTGTAATTTGTATTAAGAGGAGGACGTGTTTCATTTTGTGGCTCAGTGTGCAATGGGCCTGTTGCATGCAAGAGATACAACCGTGCGAATAGACTTTTTAGAGGTTCAATGACATGAAAATTACGATGATCACACTAAAAAAGTCTGAAATACACTCCTTACTGCGCAATTTGCGTTGTTAGGAGCGCGCTTTTTCAAATTTCCCGCGTCGAGGGGCAGTTTTCCGACGGAAACAATTAACGGCAGCTCGCGGCTATTTCCGGTCAACTAAAACTGACAACATAACCTAAAAATCGGAGCTCGTGATATCGTGAAATGAAATGTAGAAGGATTGCATTGGATATTTAAAAGTTAATCGATTTGGTGACCGCATAAAGCGTATATGGACCACTATAAGAGATCACGTTGGGTTTGTCAACAAACCGAAGGAAAAAATAACAACAACAACGACGACTCGGCATCTTCCGGAAATCACCGAGCCCGCCGTTTGCTCGTTTCCGGTGATTAGAAAACTGCCCCCAGACGCGGGAAATTTGAAAAAGCGCGTTCCTAACAACGCAAATTGCGCAGTAAGGAGTGTATTTCAGACTTTTTTAATGTGACCATCGTAATTTTCGCGTCATTTAACCTCTATATAGTCTATTCACGCGGCTGTATCTCTTGCATGCAACAGGCCCATTTTAGCCGAGATTAGACGTTTACATTTTGAAGATGAGAGATTTGTAGAACCAGAAATTTTTGAATTGTAACGTTAAGAAGGATTCCAACTCAGCTCCAATATCTCGCCGTTTTTGTCTTTTCGTACTGTAACCATTGTGCGTTTTGGTTGTGTTGGCTTTCAGTTTCCCCAACATTTTTTCAGAACATCTCAACTTCATAATTGTTGGGCCCTTTATCGGGTACTTCTATTTTTTGGTGCAACTCTTTGTAGAGTCGAGATGAGTTTTCAGCAAATACCTTATTTTCCCGGAATCGTTTGGCCCTCTTCTCATATCCTGCCACTCTTGCCGCTTTGGCTTGTAATTTCTGTAAGCCTCTCCATGGATTCTTTTAGATCATCCTCAGAGCTGATGCGATGCTTGTGGTAAAGGATCTGTTTTCGCTATTTCATGAGATTACTCTCATTCCCTTTCTTTATTTCTGTTAGCTGGGATATTTCTATCCAGAGTTCTTCTATTTTGGAAATAAGTCATTGTTTCCGGATTGGGTCTTCAAGCCAATTCTTTCTTTTGGGCCTTGGAGGTTTTTCTTGGCCTGATTCTCTAATAGTTAGCTGCCCAGCTGTATGTATAACATCTCACACAAACGTCAACGTCACTTCTTCATTGTTTTTTTCCTTTTCAGTTAATTACTTCACTAATTGCTTAATTTATGTGTCTCAAAAGTTCTTTCAATACCAGGTTTTCATTAACTTTGTCGAGCGGTTTTCTGGTTTCTTCTGAGGGAGCATTACTATCAATTAACAAAGTAATTTGGTTTGCTAGTTTTGAGGTGTATTCTTCATTGTTTTCCACCTTACCTTCATTTAGACTCCTCTAATGGCTTCGATCGTGAGGGCCTTCATCGTTTTGAACTTCTACACAACTTCTACATAACGGGCTTGTCTGATTTAAAATCCATTTCGACTTATGGAGACAGAGGAACCCAAAATCACTTTTGGAAATTGATGCAAACAAACTAGCTACGATTCTACCAGCGAACTAGCAAAGATTCATAGAAAACACCAAAAAACTGAGCAAAAACAATTGAGAAACATCAAGGATGATGTAAACGCCAGCATTTAAAGAGAATTTTTCGAACCAAATAGACAGAACAGTGAGGATGACAACCGATTGCGTCAAAGCAAATCTTCACAAGATCAAAATACACAGGAAAAAATGTCAGTTGATAGTGTAGAAGTTCAAGCTAACAGGAACAATTGGCGTAGGTGGAATCTGTACCCTGATGCGTTGGTGTCTAGTTATGCTGTTCTATAGAAGCAACGCATGACATCGATGTTCATTTCTCTCGTCCAAGTCATGCGCTGCCTCGGAATTCCTGCCTTGGTGGTTGCCGGCTGACTTGCCGGTAAAACACCGGAGGCAGGAGGTGAAGGGGATCTGCTCGGGGTTGGCCGTCGCGCCGTTAGACGCTGGGCTGATCCACGGCCGTCTTCAGCTCCAGCGTTGTGAGGATGAACTGATACGTCAACTACCTCACAGGTTGACGCAACCGAGGCTTCTTCTTGATGATTCACTGCAAGACACTCGATAACCTGTCATAGGGCTGCAAACTCTATGACAGGGAGTTCGCGGCTGAGAACCTTAGCTTGGGACGAGTCCAAGCCTACTTCCTGGGATGCCACAGGTTTTGATTTGGCCGACCAGACTGTTCCCATCCGCTTGCTCGCGTACCTCAGGGTTGCCAGCCCAGAGGGGCCTCCCGTGCAACACAATGTGTTGCCCCTGCGGTATTATTATTATTATTTATATATGAAGTTACCTCCAGCTTTGCTGGGTAGTTGGGCTCTCTTCACGTGAGTAAACAATGCTCATTGGTAGAGAGAGTAGAGTGGGTTGAGACCGGTGTTACCTTGGCTATTAATGGCCAATTTACAGCCGACGATAAGGTTTACAGTAACCGGGGTGGGAACTGTGTCCTAAGACGCCCAACCAGAGGTTGCTTCTCGTCGATGATGGTGGGGTAGGGGT